AGAAATGTGGGATTCACATATAAATCAAGTATAAAAATCAAATGAATATTCATATTTGACCTGATTGTTTATAGTTAATATGTGATCAAAACTGAAAGTTTCTGTGATGACTGCCCTTGCACTGTTCACCATGTAACTTATTCACCATGTAAGAACTTGTTCGTTATGCTTCAGAAGATTGGAGACTGACGAGAATTAGGCTTGGGGTGGATTAATGATTGTGCATTGAGCATTGAGTCCCCTGTACAGAATTTTATTGTTGTTAACAACCATTTGATCAATAAATATGAGAGATGCCCTCTCAAAAAAAAAAAAAAAAGGAAGAGTAGGAAGGCAAGCTGGAAACCTCCCCCCCACACACCAAGGAAGCAATTACAGCAAATACAACTGATCCTGAAAACAACCTGAAGTCACCAGACCACCTACACCTGGTGAAGAGAGGACCATACAGAGAGGGGTAAAGTGGCAGAGCTACAATGGAGCAGAACCCAAGTCGAATGAGCAGAACCAAGAGGACTGGAACAGGGAGGAGACAGGTATTCAGGAACTCTGCACACCTGGCCCTGGAGATCTTCTCTGGAATCACGGGTCCATATGGCATTGGGTTCTGGTGATTGGCAGGGCTGGACACCAGGGACAGTTGGAACACTCTAGGAGCCTGAGACTCCCAGCTGATTATGGATTACAGGCATCCTCCACCATCCTGCTGAAACCCAACACAGAGGTGGCAGTTTGAAAGATCTACCAGCAGTGGGAGGGGTGCCAGACAGGCGAGGTTTGGATGGAGTTCTCTGCAGGAGAAAGGGCAGGTGGGCAATACCTCCCCAGCCCTTCCTTGGCCCAACACATCAGGCATTCTCAAGAGCCCAAACACTCCATCCCCCTCACTGACTGCTCAGCCCCGAGGTGCTTCTCTGTGCACCACTGGTGTGACAGCCCACTTGGCCCTGCAGCATCAGACTTTGCTGCCTGGAGGCAGAGGGAATTTCTTCCAGCTTTCTCAGCCCTGTCTTGGCCCAATTGGGGAGGTGCCTGCAGGAGCCAGCTCCCAGCATGCCCTCTCCTTCACAGGGAGGTGGTCAAACCTGGTGCCATTCATCCCACTGCCACCATGAGACTTCCCCAGAGCTGCATGACCACCTGCCCATCTGTTAACCTAGCAGTTTTGCCATTGCTGCAGGGAAGGCAGAGGGTGGCCCTGCCCACAGCAATCCCAGCAGAAACCACTGCTCTGATCACAAAGTGCCAGCTGAGGCAAACTGTCAGCCTCTGTGGACTGAGATAGACCACTGCCAGCAGACAGACAGAAAGGCAGTCCCCCCATTGCCCACCAACAGCAACTGGGACTCCACAGCAAAGGAGAACCAGGCACTGCAGAGGAAATAGTCTTGAGCTTCTGGGCACCACAGGATGCCTTCTTCATAAAGTCATTACTCTCTAGACCAGGAAGCATAGCAAATCCATCTGATACAAAGGAAGAAACAAAGAAACCCGACAAAACAAAGAGGCAGAGGAATATGTTCCAGACAAAACTACAGGATAAGACACCAGAAAGAGGTCTAAATGAAATGCAGTTCACCAATCTTCTTGATAATTTCAAAGTAACAGTCATAAATATGCTCACTGATCTGCAGAGAAGTACAGAAGATCTCAGGGAGGACTTCAACAAAGAGAGAGAAGAGCTGTAAAAGAACTACTCAGAGCTAAAGAATACAGTAACTGAAATGAAAAATACGATGGAGGGAATGAATAACATTGCTGCAAGTAAAGGAAACAATCAATGAGACAGATATTAAGGAGCAGGAACAAAATGAAGTAGAGGAACAGAGAGAAAAAAGAACCTCCAGGAACTGAAAGAATGTTAAGAGAGCTGTGTGACTACTCCAAACAAAACAATATTCACATTAAAGAGGGGCACCAGAAGGAGAAGAGAGAGACAAAGGGCTAGAAGATTTCTTTGAGGAAATAATTGCTGAAAACTTCCCCAATCTGGGGAAAGCAATAGACACTCAGGGCATGGAAGCACAGAAAGCCTCTAACAAAAAGAACCCCAGCAAGACAACACCAAGACATACAATAATTAAAATGACAAAGATTAAGGATAAGGAAAGGGTACTGAAAGCAGCCAAAGAGAGGAAAAAATATTACTTATAAGGGAAACCCCATCAGGCTATCAGCAGACTTCTTAGCAGAAACTTTATAGGCCAGAAGGGAGTGGCATGAATATTTAATGTATTGAAATAGAAGGGCCTTCAACCAAGAATCCTCTACCCAGCAAGATTAGCATTCAAATTTGAAGGAGAGATTAACCGTTTCACAGATAAACAAAGGCTGAAGGAATTTATAACCACTAAACTAGCATTAAAG